GTGCCCTTGTGAATGAACCACCAACCCCCACGTGCTGAAACCAAAAGCCTGGCCCTTATCGTTGATTCCTCCCTCCCTCTGCCCCAGACTTGTTCATCCAGCAGTTTCTTTTCCTCAACATTCTTTGCATTCACTCCTTTCTCTCCATTCCCAAGGCAACCACTCCAGCCTAGGCTCTTATTGTCTCTCACCAGGATTTCTGTTGCCATCTCCTACTTGGTCTCCTTGCTTCTTGTCAGGTCCCCCTAAAATCCATTCTCTGCATGAAGGTCAGTGTGATCTTTCTACCAAGCAGGACAGCTAGTGTCCCAGCCCAGTTCACAGGTCCCTGATGGCTTCCTCCTTTCTTCTAGACAAACGTTGCATTACTCAGCATGGACTTCAAGGCCTCTGAGGATCTGGCCTACCCATCTCTGTCCTGTCTAATTGCAAGTTTGCAAGTCCTGCAAACTTTTCCAACAGTGAGTTTATACTCCAGCCGTACCCAGCCGCTTATCATTTGCCAAACTACACAAGTATGCAGGTTCTCTTTGCTCAAATAACCCCCATTCTCCTCTCTGTCAAACTGGCAAACTCCAATCTATTTTTCAGGTTTCAGCTCAGTCTTCACTTCCGCTGGGGAGCCTGCTCAGCCTGTGCCAAATAGATGCCTCCCTTTGTGCTTCTACTGCGCCTGGCACCTTTCCCTTCTCGTTCTGCTATCACAAGATCCAGGATGTCCATTCATTCATTCACTCATTGATTCTACATATATTTACCGAGCTGGTGCTGGGGATATAATAGTGAGCTGAAGACACGTGATTCCTGACCCAATAGAAAATGATGACTGCGGCTGTTTGCCTGTCTGACTCAATAAGCCTTTGTGGAATGATTGATGATCTTGTTTTCATGTGCCTGCAGGCCTTTGCCCTTGCTGTTTCCTCGTCCTGGAACCCTCTCTCCAGTCTGCACAGCTGGCATCTTCTTGGTCACATTATCTGGAGTCCGCTCCCCTCCTGCCCCCTCCCTCTCTAGTTCTTCACCCAGATTTACTGCCTCCATAGCATTTATCACTGGTGACACTACCTTGCTTATTCGCTTATGTCTCTGTGCCTTCTCACTAGAACGTAAACTTCTCAAAAGCAAGGACCTTGCCTGTCTCATTGCCCACAGAGTCTCAGGGACTAATCTGTGTCTGGCACATATTAGGGACCCAATGATGTGTGATAAATGAATGGATGGATTTTACAGATAAGTAAGCAGATGTAGAAAAGGGAAGGACCAGTCGAGAGCATGATATTATTTAATTATGGGCCCAGTACCGCTAAACAACCATGGGAATTACAATTCCAGAATGGAGGGTGGCAATTTAAAAACTAACAGATACAGGAGGTGAAGTAGGGAGAGGTGGGAGGAAATGAGCTCATGTCATAGAGAGGAGTTACCTGCTCTCCAAAGCGGAGAGATGTACGAATAAAACACCGTTACTTCACTCTCTTCTTGTCTTTCATCATCTCCTTTCTGAATCTTTGCAGAATTATTTAGGAGACAATAGCTCTCATGTGGTGAAGAAACATTTAAAATTTACCAATCCCTTCAGCTTCATGTTAGCTTCATTTTCTTTTATTAAAAGAAAATAGCTTAAATTTAAAACTATCAACTATAAGATGTCAATATATTAAATTTATTTTTTCTATCTATCATCTATCTGCATTTATCCATACATATGTCTTACAAATGGCATATATGACATATTTATTTTATTTTTTGCCATATTTATATTTATATGACAATATATGCCTAGAAAGATGTCCAGGATTTAGTGAACATTCATGAAAGTTATTTCTGGCTGATAAAATTTGGTTTTCTTTTATTTTCTGTATTTTCCTGCATAATTTTACTTTTTTACAATGTACATGTATTGTATCACTTTCGCAAGAATCGAATGATTTTAAAAAAACAATGGGAAGCAGATAGACCAAAATGTAATTGATGGTTAATTTTGGATGGTAGGGATATTAAGATATCTTTTTGTATTATGATTTTTTTTTTTTTAATTTGAAAGAGGAATTTTTAAAAGGGAAAAGCGTGAATCTAAGGTTAGTGCATCAGGGATCCACAGAGGTTAAGCAGAGTCAGGGTCAAGGCTGGGTGAATCCTGGCTCAAGGTGTCTTTCTAGCCAGAAGAGGCCCCAGCGGAGACAGCTGGCAGGAAGGATATGGTAGCCAGGGTCGCGGACCCAGGCAATGGAGTGCGGGGTGCCATTAGAAGCTGGGCCTCTATTGGCCTGCGGACATCCAGCAGGAGGACACCAGCTTCCCCCAGGTGAAGCAGTTGGTTCCTGGGAGGACGCTGAAGCAGTGAACAGGCTCACTTCTCACAGCTCCTACAGCGCCGTATACAGATGCAGAGGTTTGAAAACCGCAGCCCAGAGACCTGTGAGGAGTCTCGCAGGGAGCCAGGCACAAAACGAGCGTTCCGTGATTATAAATGAATACGTAGCATCAACTGAAAGATTTTTTTCTTTTTCACGAGAGGAGAGCTATTCACGTCGGGAAGAAGCCATCGGAATACGAGAAACTGAATATGATACAAGAGGGAGGGAGCGGCCAAAGACCCCCGAGTGGGTTGAAACGACGGATGCAGGGCACTGGGCCCAGGAGAGAGGGGTCAGGCTTTGCTTCCATAATATTGAAATCACCCACTTGCGTGTCCGTCTTTTCCTCGGGCTGTGACCTCCTTCAATGGTCTGTGTCCCACTCGTCTTTCAGTCCCTCCTCCCCATTGTCTAGCAGGGCGCCTGGCTCCCTATAAGTTTAGCTCAATAAATGTTAAGTTGAACGGCGGCAGATCTTTGCATCGGTCCAATCCCGAGCTTCTGTACAGAAAGCAAGATAAACACGTTCCACTCAGGGGGCCGGCGTTCTCTTGTTCCTTTGGAGGGGCTATGGGGGATTCAGGGGGTACTTTAATACTCCCGAGTGGAGGGAGCTGTCAGACAGCCGGCCCTCTGCAAGGGACAGTCGAAGGAGTTGGGAAGGTGCGTGCGCCCCTCTCACCAGGCCCGCGGATGCTGGGTGGTACCCAAGGAGGCGCTCGGATGGGTCACTACGGATGGAGCTAAGCCAGGGATCTTCTGCACGAAGTTCTCCCATCTCAGAGCATCCTCGTCCTTCTATGTCACTGAACTGGCCGTCTCCATCTGGCAACTGGGAAGAGTCTGCCTCCAGGGCGCCGGGGGTGGGGAGGAGGGCAGAGCGCAGGATTGCGGAATGCGCGGCGCACACGCGAGCGGGCATCACCGCGGGCTTCGCGCCGGCTCGCTTAGGCTCCGGCGCGGGCGCAGCCAGGACCCCGGCCCGGTGCGGAGCGCGCCCTCCCCCACGCCATCTGGGCCTCCGGCGGCCCAGGCCCGTCCCGCCTCCCCACGGCCTTCCGCGGCTCGGTGTCGCACGCTGCCCCGGTGGCGGGCGGACGGCAGCGCGGGCCGCCGGTGAGCCGGGGCGCGCAGGGGCCGAGGACGCACGCGGCCGGACGGGCGGCGCGCGCTCCCCTCCCCCGCGGCCGGCAGCGCGAGCCGCCGTGACGTCACGGGCGCCCGCCTGCCCTGCGCTCCACCGGGCAGAGCGTGCGCGGCCGCCGAGCACATGGGCCCGCGGGCCGGCGGGCTCGGGGCGGCCTGGCCCGGGAGGAGCGGCGAGGGGGCGCCAGCAAGGATGGGCCTCGGCACCCCCGGCCCCCGGCGAGTGGATTTCCACGCGGGAAGGAGGTTGGCGGCGCCGGTGACCTTCGGAGACACGGCTGGATCCACCTTCCAGTAAGTTAGAATTTTGTCTTCTGCGTTTCTGGAAACTCGCAAGCCAGGGTCTTGCGGGTAGGGATGCGCACGGAATAGGGGGACGGAGGAAAGGGGCTTTCGGACTGGGATGTCTGTGTGTGAACCGTGACTTTCCTCATCACCAGACTCGAGACTGGCAGCGAGTTTGGGCTTTGGGGAGAGGGGGAGGGGAGGAGGGTGACATCAAACGCTCCGTGCCTAGAGATAATTCTGGATTTATGTACTTGATCAAAGGTGTATTACCTAACCTCTAAAAATAGACTCCTTCGCATTAGTACCAACTGGGGTCACAGATTCGTGTTGGAGGCTCCTTTTGCAAAATTAGAAGTCTGTAAACCATATGATGCTCCCTCCATCCGTTGACCATCTCCCGTCCCCCACCCCCAGGTGATTTCCGGAAAATTGAGCAACTATGTTTGAAACTTTGTCTGCTTTTGCATTGCATTTACAGATCTGCTGGGTGCCCCCACACCCATATCACGGTAATTCTTTTTGGAAAGGTTGTTGACTGAATTAGGCTTACCCTCCCTGGGGTAGTGTGCTCTTATTTATGCCAGTGTTTGTGGTCCGAGTGTAGACTTTCACGAATGGCAGCCATGATGCTGCACGTGTCCGGTGCCTGGAATGACCGTGAATTTTCCTGATACTTTGCAGTCGTGGAATATTCTTCTGTTCACTCGAACCCCTGGCATCAGGCTCTTCTAAAAGATCAGAGGAGTGAGGAAGCCACTTGTGAGGGTTTTTAGGGAGAAGAGGGTGAGGTTTTGGTGTTTCCTTTCTGGTGGTATATTTTCCAAAGAGAGGTGGGCAGCCGGCTTGTCGCCCACTCCACCACTGAGTCCTGGCTACTGGAGCCGGTTCATTGGTGGAAGAAACAGTGGAGAAACGTGTGTTTGTGTGTGGTGGGTGGGCGGGGGCCCTGAGGAGGTAGGGACTGTATCTGCTCTGCTGTTCGTTATAGGATGTTGCAGGCCTATTTTGCATACTGGTGGTGACAAGTTGAGGCTTGTTCATTTGACACAGTCCTGTGGTCATGGCAAATCTTTCTAAAGCTCTACCCAGCAGAGAAGGGGGTTGTATGGATCCTCTGAACCTGGAGTGGAACTTCCCGAAAGATTTATTAGGAGAAAAACCTTCCTGGAAGCCGCAGCAGGACAAACACAGAATTGCTGGCTGGGCAGAGCCTCGTGGCCTGGTCCCCACTATTTGAGAAGAGTCACATCTCGGAGGTGAGGACCGCCTCGTGGTATCAGCTGTTGGCAGTAGGGCCGGATGGGCATTCCACGTATGGATCTGGGGATGGAAAGGCTGGGTGGGTGCGGTGCCCACCGTAATCCTGGGCCCATTGATCTCCCAGAGGGGATTTATTTTGTGGTCACATTGTTGTTTTGCCTGGTCAAGGGTGACTTCTTGTTGTTGTTTTCCCTTTAGCTAGTTTGAGTGCAGAATTTTGCATAAACCAGGCTTCTCTTGAAAAGTAGAAGAAATCCGTTTCTTTTTCTCATTGATTTTCCTCTCTCTCCCCCCCCTCCTGCCCCCTCCCTCCAGGCAGTCTGCTGTGCTCTTCTGTCCAAGGCTAGAGCTTTTTGAAGCTGGGAAGAGGGAGTTCTTGTTCTCGGTTTTGAAATATCTGACCCCCACTGCTCTGTGTGATTGCTGGTAGATTCTCACTGTCTGCATCCCCTCGATTCCTGTGCTTTAGCTTTTTTCTTTCTGAATGGCAGGCAGGCAGGTGGGCTGCGTCTGGGGAGCCCATGTTTACCGTGCCCGGGATCTTCTGCCTGCCCAGGATGGATACTTTCTCAGACAGCTCAGCTAAGGAGTCTCCTGGACGATCAGACACCCTTCCTTTCTTGCTCTTTGTGTTTGTGTCCCTGAATTTGGTCGGACCAAGGGCCGATCGACCCTTTCCTGGGGCATCCGAGGTCCTTGGAGAGTTGCGGGGTCTCCATATTCTTTAGAGAGGTGGTTGCAGGCCTGCTAATGGCTGTGCCTCACGGTGTGTGTTTTAGAAGTCCGATGCCCTCCTGCATGCTCCGGCTTTCCTTTCTATTTTGCATTTTCTTCCATAATTGACTGTAGACATGGCATTGTGCCTGTTTTTTTTTTTTTTTTCCCCTTCTGATGCTGGTTTGTGATCTTTAAGAGACCAGGACTCCCTCTATATATCCCCAGTATCTGCAGGGGGACCCTGCCCCAAGATGGGAACAGAGCAACAATCTAGAATTATTTTGACCATCGATGAACCCCGTTCACAGTCACTTCTCCACCTTCCTAGAAAACCTCAGAAATTCTAGGCCTTACAGGAGAATTCTGCTAAAAAGGGTCTTTTGATAGGCACCTCCTGTGTCTCTCTGTTTTTCTGAACCTGAGTAATCTGAGGAACTAATAAAAGTAGTGATAATAATAATAACGATAGTTCCTCTAATAACATTGAAACCATGTATCATGCCAAGCGTGTTCTTTGCAATTTGTGCACCCTGTAACCTCACCAGGTGGTAATAATAAAATGTCTAGCAATGATGGAGTTCTTATTGTGGGCCAGCCTCAGTTCTAAATACTTTAGATATATTATCTCATTTAAACTCGCAACAATCATATAAGATAGGATTCTCATTATTATCACTATTTTGCAGATGAGAAACTCATAGTTCAGAAGGTTAAAAATAGCCCCTCAGGCCACACAGCGAGGGAGTGGCAGAGCCATTGAATTTGGATCAGTGCCCTCTGTCTCCCTGGGCCCACTCCCAGACATGAGAGGACAGTGAAATTAAGAACAAGCAAAGAATGTTTCTTGGCTTGAGCTGGAGGAGTGAGTGTGTCTGCAGTCTCCCCATCTCATGTAGGCACAGATAGAAACCCCACATCTTCTCCAAAGATACCATTGCTCTGGCTGCCGGCCTGTTCACCTTGGTGGAGCAGGCTGCTAACAGTGGGGCCAAGAAGACTTAGGTGGGGACTTTAGTGCTGGGAAAGTTCTGGGCTGGGGGCCTGGGGAACAAGGCCTCTGGGCAGGCCTGGGCAGGAACCTCAGTCTTGGTGCAGGATCTATGAGCGTTTGCAAAATGCTACATCCGGGCATCTTGCCTGGCTTTGTGAGCAGCATTTAATTACTATCCACATCCACAGCACATGGGACATGGAGTTTGCAAATGGTCACGTCTTCCCTGTCCCTCCACACTCCCTCCAGCTGTTCTGTACCTACCTCTATGATGGGTATAGTTTAGGTCCTGCAGCGACCGGAACAATACAGAGATTGTGGTGGCCTCGCTCAACCGTGTCATTAAAAACGAAAACAACGCCAGGTCATAAAACACAAGAGTTACATACAAGAGGGTGAACGATCTCAATCAGTTTTTAGTTGCAGAATTCTGAATTGTCTCTTATTTTCTCTTCCTCTTTTTTTTGGGGGGCGGGGGCGGTGCTATGAGGTGGTGTTTTGCTGTTTTGCCTGGTGGGTAATCTGAGCCCCAGTGTTATTTGTTTATCTGCCTTTTTTTTACTCCTTGACCTTGAACTTTTTTTTTTTTAAGATTTTATTTTTCCTTCTTCTCCCCAAAGCCCCCGCGGTACATAGTTGTATATTTTTAATTGTGGGTCCTTCTAGTTGTGGCATGTGGGGCGCCGTCTCAGCATGGTTCGATGAGCCGTGCCGTGGCTGCGCCCAGGATCCGAAGTGGTGAAACCCTGGGCCGCCGCAGCGGAGCGCACGAACTCAGCCAGTCGGCCGCCCCGACCATGAACTTCTTGAGAGCATCGGGGGTTGGGGAGGGGGGATTGGCGTCATCTTTTCCCCCTCAAAGCCCCAGGACTTTGTCGCATCAGGTGGCTGTCAAGAACTGCCTTGTTTTCAGGGCAACAAGCAACGAACGCCGAGCCTATAGGGATTGTCTTTTTAGAAGTGAGACAGCCTGACATGGTGGGAAGTGACACTGAAGACAGAGAGGGAAACCAGGAAGCAGCATCTGGGCCAACTCAGGGGTAGGGCAGATCTGGATTTCTTTGGAGCAAGTGACTTCACGTCTTTAAGCCTCAGTTTCCTCGTCTGTAACATGAGGATGATAAAGCACCGGCTTCGTAGGTTGGTGGGAAGAGGAAATAAGGGATAAACAGCAGGCGTTTAGCAGAGAGCCTGGGCTCGTAGGAAGCACTCAGTAAAAGTTAGCTAATAGTACTGTTACAATTACTGGGTTTTATTACTTCCTGTGGCAGCTTGGAGTAGTGGTTTCTGAATACGTTTTAATATGTAAAGGTAACATTCTGGCTGCAGAGATCATAAGATGGCAGTGACTTCACTAGAGGTCTTTGCGAGCATCTGAAAGAAATGTGCGCTAATAGGTGTAAGAAAGAGGTTCTAAGAAATCAGGAAGGCTGCAGGAGCGGGTCTCAGAAAGGACAGGCATCAGAGGGTGCCCCTCAGGTGTCAGCCTGCTTTGCAAGTTACCTGAGCTCTCAGCTGGCTGCACAGGGGGGAGAAGGATGGTGCCCAGCACTTAGCACAGAGGAAGTGAGCTTTTGAGGAAGACATTAAAGCAATTGTTATTATTTACTATTCTTCAGGACTCCCTTTTCCTGGTAAATTAGTCCCAACGTTTGTTACTCTGTTGAAGATTGAGTCCTTCATTCGTTCATCTACTGAGCAGTTGCTGTGTGCCAGGCACTCTTCTAGTTGCTGGAGATCCAGCAGGGAAGAAAAGAGACAGAAATCTCACCCTCTTGTAGCTTCCGTGCTAGTCCAAGCCACACAGTAGGGGCAGGTGGCCCCTGGGAGGAGCTGGGGAACAGATAGAGGTCGTGCAGGCAAAAACTACACCTACTGCAGTGCCAAGGGGCCCTGGAACCACTGTGTTAATAGATCTTAGATGCTTAGCACAGGGCCCAGTGTGTGGTAGGTACTATGTAAGTGGTAGTTGTTATATTTATTTATTATTATTATTATTTTATTATTTTCCTTTGGTGACTGCCTTATAAAAAGACAACTTTGCTTTCTCCCATTTCCCTTCCTGAGTTTGATGTTTCTGCCTAGTACTTGTTATAGCCTGAATGTTGATGTCCCTCTAAAATTCATACATTCAAATCCTAACTCCCAATATGATGGCGTTAGGAGGTAGGGCCTTTGGGAGGTAATTAGGGTTAGATGCGGTCCTTGGGGTGGGGGTCTTCATGATGGCCTTAGTGCCCTTTTAAGAAGAGACACCAGAGAGCTTTCTTCCTCTCTGTGTGTGAGGTCAGAGCAAGAAGAAAGCCGGGAAGACAGCTCTCGCCAGAAACTAGAACCTTGATCTTGGACTTCCTGGTTTCCAGAACCGTGAGACATAAATTTCTACTGTTTGAGCCACCTGGTCTGTGGTATTTTGTTATGGCAGCCTGAGCAAACTAGGATAGCACTTCTCGTTACCTGATGTACCATATATCCGCCTTCTCTCACTAAACTGTAAACTCTGTAAGTCTGAGGGTTTACAGCCATTCATTCATTCATTTTCATTAATTCGGCAAATGTTTATCGTGTGCCTGCTCTGTGCCAAGCACTGTTCTAGGCGCTGGGGATGCAGAGTGGAACAGAAAAGATTTCTCATGGTATTTGCATCATAGCTGGGACAGACACACGGGCAACAGTAGACATAATAAAGGAGGACGTTCGTAGTGTGTTAGAGGGAGATGCGTTCTCTGGGAACAAGCAGAGCAGGGTCAGGGTCTGCAGGGCTGGGCTGGGCTGCACTGTGAAGCTGGCTGGTCAGCAAAGGCTCCACCGAGAAGCGGACCTTGGAGCAGCTTGAAGGAGGTGAAGGACTTAGTCTGGAGGATGCATGTTTCAGGCCCTGGGAAGAGCCAGGATAGAGGCTGAGGGCAGGAGCGGGCCTGTGAGATGGAGGAGCAGCAAGGAGAAGAGTAAATTGGAATGGCGTGAGCAAGGCTGACAGGCAGAAGGGGAATAGAGCAGTGTGCACAGGTGCTTCCCATTGTCTTCAGGCCTTTCTAAAGACATTGTCTGTCTTTTTATTTCATTTTTTTGAGGAAGATTAGCCCTGAGCTAACACCTGTTGCCAATCCTCCTCTTTTTGCTGAGGAAGACTGGCCCTGAGCTAACATCTGTGCCCATCTTCCTCTACTTTATATGTGGGATGCCTGCCCAGCATGGCTTGAGAAGCGGTGCCATGTCCGCCCCTGGCATCCAAACCAGTGAACCCCTGGGCCTCCGAAGCAGAATGTGCAAACTTAACTGCTGTGCCACTAGGTGGGCCCTGTCTT